ATTGATTGGCTAATATCACGTGTTTATTATTTTTTTCAATTTGCCGACAACCCGAAAACCCGGCAAAAATTTTACCAAGTGTCCCGAGATTTGCTGTAAGGGAAAAATTATTAATTATTCTAAATAATGATTATAATGTTTTTTTTAAAAAAAAAAAGAAAAAAAAAAATACTCCAATTAACACCATGGTTGTTTAAACCATAGTGATTTTGGAATAAAAATTTGATAACATATCTAATTGTTTTATTTGTTTATTTTACTTATAATAGGATTTCTTTACGTCCAACTGTAATTGGTTGCCTTTGACGAAAGCTTTGATCCAAATTTGAATAAGATCCCCCACAATAAAAAAATAATTTAAAAATAATTAAAATTTCCATTTAGTAAATTGAGATTTTCCGGAGGTTTAAAAATAGTTGGTAATAATAATTAATGTAAGATCATGTCGGTTGAAAATTCCATCGATTATGACATTCATATTTTTTTTTTTTTGATTTGTTGCGCGATTAAAAACTTTCTAAAAGTTCATAAAAATTAATCAACAATTAAAAAAGCGAATTTCTAATCGTCTTGAAAAAAAATATATATATATATATAAATATTATATATAACCCCGTATCTTTTTTTATGAAAAGTATTTTCTTTTTCTTGGATTATTTCATGTAATATAGGATCGATCTTTTTTCTTCCTTTATCCCCCTCCCCTGCCTCTCACCACCTCCCTTCCCCTTCTTTATTTCATTCGCCCATTTAACATAATATAATGATATTCTCTACGTGTACATTACTATCATTACCATTACTGGTTCTGGCAATAGTTAATGCTAATGCCGCAGTAATTTCCAATAAAACCGTTTCATCATCTCGCATACACGCTCAAAATACAATAACAACAACATCTTCCACGAATGATAGCATATTAAATAATTCGATAGGAAATGGAATATTTTTCGTGGCCGGTATCATAACATCATTCGCGAGCATCGTAGGGTGTTCAACGATCATGATGATTACTTTTAATACATGGAAAAAGCTGAAAAAGTTACCCCCCTCACAAAAATTTCCATTCTACATGTCAATAATGGACCTATTAATCGCTCTTATAACGATTCCCAATCTGTTTTATCCGATGCAGAACAATGAATTATTAAATTCCGAGGTTCTGTGTCAGATTTTTGGGTTTAGCATGTCGTCGTTAATCAACATGAACATGATTCTAATGACCACCTTCGCAATTAAAACTTACCTACATATATGTAAAAGAATCATTGTCAATTTTGGATCGTACGATTGGAAATTAATCATTTCTATATTGACGCTCAGTACACCATTTAGCATAATAACCGCTGTATTTAATGGTTACGGTCAAGACAATTATTGGTATGAATTTTTCTCCTCTTTTTTTATTTTTTTTTTTTTTAAAAAAAATAAATAAATAATTCTTTTCTATTGATAGGTGTTATATGAATAGGATGAACAATTATGGTAGTAAGGCATCAATGATCTGCTCGGTAATATTTACCTACATCGTAATAATGACGACAACATTTTGTTATTTGAAGGTAATAAAAACCATCCATGGGGTAGAATTGATGCTCACTTCAAAGTCATTTAAATCCGCATGGTGTCCAATAAAATGTAATAGATCCTCTTCAATGACAAATGAAGACGGTTTGGAATTAAGACCTCCAAGTTTCTTTATTACGATCATGTCAATTCAATCTATTCCAACTGCATCACAACAGACGGTCGCTTCAAACATAATGAAAGCGACACGTAAACTAACCGGTTACATATTTTTACAATTGATCCAGTACGCCCCTATTATAATTTATTGTTTATGTTTCTTGTATGATGTCAATGAAGTTTGGATTTACATCTTATTCATCGTGTCGCTTAATCTTGGGAGCGTTGCCAAAACCTTTGTTTTCTTGAAGAATGAAATGTTTTATGATAATTTAGGGTAGAAAAATCAAAAAGGGAGAATAATAAAGTTCCGTTGATTCAATTACAATCTCAAAACATGATAGGCAAGGGTTCTTTTTGCTTTGATTGGATCATTAATTTCATTTTAAAGACGATACCTTTAATCGATCGATTCAAATACGTTGAACTTTTTTTTCTTAATAAATGATTCCAAGTAGTCGTCACCTAAGAATATAAATATAAATAATAATATAATTACATGTCGTCGCGCCACGAATGTATTTTTTTTGTTAAACATCCAAAAACGAGATTTTATAAACAAGAGAAAAAAAAAAGGTTAATTCGAAATAAAAGAATATATTATCATCCAAGTCGGAAAGTGAAAATTTTTGCTGCGCAGCATTTCATTTGTTAACGTGAAGTACGAACAAATTTTAACGTTTCGCTGGAAAAAAAAAAAAAAGTCGCATTATATATTTCATTGTATTTGAAAAGGAACAATAAACAAATGAAGAATTTCTTTGATAACAATAACTTTTTCTTTATTTAATAAACATAAAATATAACATTTCTTTTTTTTTTCCTTTATAATTTTAATATCCAAAAAATAGAACAATTTAGGACTAAATAAATTTAAGTACTAAAAGAAAGAAAAAAAAGAAAAATAAAATTTTATACTAATTGATTTTTTTTTAAAAAATAACACTAAAAAGATAACAAAAAAATTAACAACAATCTTCGCCCGGTTTGTAGTATTCATCCATCAAAAATTTAGTGGCTCTTCTAGCGCGAAGTAAGACGTCATCTTTATTATGATGAGTAACGTTGACAGCAAATAATCTGTTCACTTCGTCTTCGGCGTATTTGACAGCCAAATCGGTTGCTTTAGAGACATCTTCTAAGGTCTTATTCTGAGCACTTTCAAGCTTAACTTTGCATTTTGCTCGAGCAGCTGCTCCAACTACGATCAATTCGGAGTTAAGATAAGCGTCTTTTTGCGTTAGAACACCACCATCAGATCCAATTGCAACGGAGTGAGACATTCTCTTTGTTACTTCTGTGGTGATAGTAGTTTGGCTATTGAGAAATTCGCAGCCTTGTTTGATTAAATATTGTTCACAAGCGGAGTATAATTCATTTTCTAATTCCGCATTATGGACTTGTTGGCTGATCCAGGGTTTTGTTCGATCGCAAGCTGCGCTCCATTCGGATTTGTGTTCAACCAAAACCACCTTGAAATAGGTAACAACAAATGCAGAGATCCAAATACTTTTATCGAGGCGTCTCAAACGTAAACTTCCAACATATGATTTAAGAGATTCGACGGCATCTTCGGATGAAGTGATCTTTAGTTGATCAGAAATTATTTTGTGAAGGATGAAAGAATGGTTCTTTGTTTGAGATTTGCATATATTACGAGCATCCTCAACTTTAGCATGAGATTTAAGTCCATCAAAAACGGCATTTCTTGTTTCATCATCTACTTCGAGTCTAACAACGCTAACCTCTAAGCTTGGACTATTATATAACTCTACAGCTTTTTCAATCAGATATTGATCGCAAGCTTTGTATAATTCTTCTTCCAATTTGCTGTTGCCGAGTTGTTTACTAACACATTTCTTCGCTTTGTCACACGCGACGCTCCATTCCTTCTCGAATTCAACCAACACGATTCTGAGGTATGTGATTACAAACGCGGTTTGCCAAATTGATTTATCGCATTCCTTTAGGCCTTTTTGACCAACATAACGAACGAGGCCTTTAATGGATTCATCGGTTGATGGAATTTGAAGATGTTCGATAATTGAATGATGTAAAGCGAAAGAACCATCGCCGTGTTGAGATTTAGTGAGCACGTGAGCATCATCAATTATGGCACGTGATTGGAGATATTTGAAGACTGTTTGTCGAGTTTCATCAGAGACTTCAAGAGTAACCTTATGAATGGTTTCCACGTCTTGTGTGACGACGACTTTACTATTCAAGTGTGTGATGGTTTCTTCGATCAAGTATTGTTCACATGCAGATAATAATTCCGCTTCTAATTTTTTATCGCCACCAAGTTGTTCTTTCAACCATTTATCAGCACGTTCACAGACGGTGCTCCATTCATTTTTGTATTCAACTAGAACATGTCTTAAGATATAGATCGTGAGCGCAGTTTCAAAGACGGTATCCTTGCACGCTCTAAGACGTTGATTACTAACGAAGCTCTTGATGCTTGTAATTGAATTGTCGGTATTATTGATTTTAAGTCGTTCGATGATTATTTTGTGGAGTGTGATTAACCCATCATTTCCTTGGGATGAACAGATCGAACGAACATCATCAACATTGAATTTTTCAATCAAATATGAATAAGTTGCTTTCTTCGTGTCTTCGTCAAATTCAAGTATCCTGATTTTAAGAGCCTTTTCTTCTTTCTGCTTAACTAATTTACGTGTTACACTATCTAAAACATATTTGTCCGAAGTTTCCAAAAGCTCCTTTTCTAAGCTTTCGTCATTGATCTGAGTTCGAAGATAATTCCTGGCCTTCTTGTATTTATCTGCCCAATCACCTTCATATTGGCTAGCCGTATTTTTCAAATATTGCCTAAGATAAGTTGTAAATCAAAAAAAAAGAAATTAGAATATGATAGGATCAGAGAAAAAAGTTTATAAATTCGTTAAAGGAACTTACATTGATATAGCGGTGGACCAAATTAAGGGATTAATGGTTTTGAGTTTGTCGTTCTTTGTGTACGTTGTTACGGATGTCACAAGGGAGTCAGATGATGTAGAAAGTTTGTCGGCAATTTCCTCGTTAACTTCAAAGGAACCATCATCTTTTTGTTTCGAGACAACAGCTTGGGTGGCTTCAGGTGTGGTAGATTGCTTTACTTCTTCCAAAGCTGCAATCCTTGATTGCTTTTGTACTTTTTCTGAACCTTTGTCAATTATTACTTTGCTTGATGATTTAATAATTTCTTCCTCTAATTTAGCATCACCAATTTGAGAACTAAGATACTCCCTGGCTTTATTATATTTTTCTGCCAATTCTTTTGTTGGATTATCCATGGCCGTGTTCAAATATCCGAGCGTAATTGCTGTTTTGAAGATGGATTCCCTTTTTTCGGGTTTGATTTTATCACTTTTGACATAAGATTGAGCTTTCTTGATTAAATCGTTGGAGGTATTATCAAGTTCTTTGGTGATCGTTTCGTGAATTTCGAAGGATCCGTCATCATTCTGAGTTGATAAAGCCGTATTAACAGTTTCTTCGGAGGTTTTTGATCGTATGGCAAGGACAGCAGCTTTCTTTTTATCTTTAATAACCTTTCGAGTTGATTGATCCACAACAAATTTGTCGGAAGCCTTCATTAACTCTTCTTCGACTTGAGGGTTATTAATTTCCTTTGCTAGATACTGGCGGGCTTTATCATATTTCTCCTTCCATTCGCCTTCATGTTTATCTGCTAAATTTTTGAGGTATGAGATGTTTACGCTTGTGGTGATCCAGGAAGGTTTCGCATCTTTAAGTTTTTCAGTTGTAACGTATTTCTGAACAGTATTCACTATTTTTTCTTCCGAAGGTGCGTCTAATTGTTTACAAATTGTCTCGCTGACTTCAATAGAACCGTCATCTTTTTGTTTCGATACTACAGTCTTGACATCATCTTTTGTTGTTGTTGATTTGACCGACTCGAATGCATCGGCTTTTTCATGATGATCGTCATCGTCATCCAAGCTGAGAGCATCTTCAACATGTTTGCCCAGTTCTATTGCGGTAGATTTGATGCTTTCCGCGATATTACTTATAAATCCAGCTTCGGGTTTCTTTTCTTCCGGCAAAACTTCTTTTCCTTTGCCTTTTGTATCAGGTTTGACTTGAACCTTGGTGTCTTTGTCATCAAAAATTTGCCCAACCCATCCAAACAAGGAAGGTTGCTCTTTTGTCGTTTCGGAAACCTTTTCGACCACAACCTTTTCGCATGATTCCAAGATTTCTTTTTCTAATTTGTCGTCCTTGATTTGGTTGTGTAACCACTCACGAGCCTTTTCGTTTTGTACTTTCCATTTCGCTTCGTGTTTACCTAATACCTTATTGCAGTAAGCCAACGTTATGAACGTGTTCCAAGTTTTGGTATCCAATTTCTTGACGCGTTCATCCTTGATACGAACTAAAGAATGGATGTTTTCAGTTGTCGTTACACCAATATTGTCGGTGATTAGTTTGGATATCTCAAAGGAACCGTCATGATTTTGAGTTTTGGTAACCTTATCGACCTAAAATATATAAATTAGATTGTAAGTATGTAAAATTAAAGGTGTCACGTTAATTTATTCCTCAATTAA